ATTAAAACAATAGAAAGGACAATTATTTTACAAATGTTCCCTAACATTGGTGAAGTCTTAAATCTCAATCTTCATCTTAACATATGGACCCAGTCCTGCTGTACTTACTGAACATTAGTGAGGCAAACAGAGATATTCATGCAGAAAAGATGCTTCAAAGCATTGCTCATAGAATCTCTCTAGGATTCCTCTGTACCTCCTACTGAAATACCAACCAGTTTCATCATACTCTTTTTTTCTCTTAATATTTTATGACATACATAGATATGGAATAAGTTTTTTTTATGGGTAAGCATTTTAGGACCCTCCTTTTGTTCACATTACTCAGTTAAAGATGGTCTTCCTAAAGTCTTTATTTGATATTTAAATACCTGGAAAAAGATGATGGTGAGGAATGGTTTGCAAAGCCATTAGAACTAGTTTGAAAGAAAAAAAAGAAATAATATCTTTACATTAATATTGTTGAGAAGTGGGATCTATCACCAGGATCATTAGAATACATGGCAAATATAAAAATTATTCAGTGGCAATTTGATGTGAGCTTTTTGTTTATTTATGAACTACATCATATTTATAATAAATTAAAATATGAAATAAAAACAATGGATTTAACTTTGTTTAAAATGTTTAATCATCATATATTGAACAATACAATTTTCTAAGCACTGTACTACATACTATTCAGATATCAACCCCTTTCATCTTCTCCATGATTTATACATTATTTGTGTTTTTTGATGTTGTTCTTCAAAAAAGGGAACAATAATCTAAGATGCCACATAAACTTACAAGAACACATATATCAAATTTTGTCTGTATAGTGAGGCACTATACTTTTACCACTGTGCTTGGATGTTTTCTCATGAATATAAATGAAAGCTTAAAATTCTAAATTTTACATTCAAGTACCATCCAGATTTCTGGACATTCCGAAATGTCCTCTTTTGATAATAAACTGCAAGAATATTCATAACTGAAAATTTTGAATTTATCAGGATCATATTTTTATAAAAATATTGAAAATATCAATGATTTATTCAAGTTAAAATTACATTAATAATATAAAAGCATTTGCCTAGTAATAAAAATATAACAGTTTCCCATTATACAGGAGGATTATACAGTTTCCCTTTTACAGGCCCAAGACTCCCACTTTATGTCTGAAACCTCAATTAGCACCAAATCCATACATATCATCTTTCCTATAAATACATACACAAATTAAATGTCTTTTACATTTTTAACTAAACCCTTGTCACACATTATGTCTTCGTATATTACAGTTAGAGACAGGGCAACAAAAACAGAACAAATTTACTTTTTCCTTTTCACAATTTCATAGACACTCCATTTGTTCTTACCCTAGATCTGAGTAACCTCAGCTAATGAAGGTTTTCCCTCTTTAAGTTTAGAATTTTCATATGAAGGAATAACTTTACTACTTCTTCTGGCATATCTAAATTGTAGGATCACTACTCTAGCATGCTCTGGCCAGTATTAAATAAAACAGGTATTACTTTGAACACAAGCACTGTGACACTAGGTCAGTTGAGATGACAACCAGGACATCCACTTATAGGCAGAGCACAAAAACAGTATGGATTCCTGGAGGATGGTGTGATTCTGCCAGGGATGGGACAGAGAGGGAGGACATGAAAGTCATCATGCCATTCATTACAGTGTGCAGTTTATATTATGAATCATTTATTTCTGGAATTTTCCTTCCAATATTTCTTCAGTACAATTGACTACGAGCAACAGAAACCACAGAAAAAGGACACTTCCATTCTATTTACTAATAAATCTACATAAAATACTATCCTGAAGGGAATAAGTTAAACAAATTCCTCTTTAAAATAAAAATGGAGACAACATTTCCATTCCTATCACCATTTTTTTCCAACATAATGCAGCCCTCAACCAGAACAAAAGGTCAATAAAAACCTCATATGTAAAAAATATAAATGACAGTATTTGAGGAGGACATGATATTTTGCACATAAAACCTAAATAATTTATAGATATTATTAAAAATAGCAGAATAAGAAAGTGACTCATCATATGATTAATATGCAGAAGTTGATTGATTATTGTAATATTTTATAATGTTTCTAATTTACCTTGATAATTTTCATGTGTGAAGTCTGCTTTTTCATAAATTAATATTTCTTTAGCTTCTTTCTCTTTACTGTAATTATGGTGTAATTTTTCATTACTTTTAATCATGAATCTTCATGTTTCCAACTTGTAACTGATGTATTTAGACCACCGCAACTTAGAATAATTATTCATATATTTATGTTAAAATATGCTATATTGCTAATTTTTATTTGATATATTTGTTCTTGCTACTTGATTTATTTTAATCTGCTTTGTCTGATATTCTTTTTCTGTTAACTATTAACTATATTTTATAATTCTTCTTTTTGAGACTTTTTTTGTAGATTACATAGAATTTACCATATACTTTTATTTTTTATTAGTTGCTCAAAATATTACAATGATCTTGACATATCATACATTTGATTCAAATGGGGTATGAATTCTGATTTTTCCATGTGTACAGAATGCAGGATCACTTTGGTTATACAGCCACATTTATACATACAGCCATACTAGTGTCTGTTGTATTCTGCTGCCCTTCCTATACAATATACTTTTAAATTAAATGATCAAACAATCAGATAATGTGTCTACTTCCCACTTAGTTGAAGAACCTGATAATTGATGATTCACAGGTCTTTTTTCTTTGTCTCTGCATCATGATATTCCATAGAATAAAAGCAACCATTATATGACACTTTTAAATCAATTATAGATTAGGAAAAAAAAAACATAAGTAGTAGATTATTGGGATAACGGCTAGATCTGACCCAGTAGTACTAGACTAGGAACAGAGATTACAGACTGTGTGTCTGTAGTGTGTATTATGTGTCCTTATCTCTGTCTCTCCAATAAACTAGAACTGACCCAGTAGTACTAGACTAGGAACAGAGATTACAGACTGTGTGTCTGTAGTGTGTATTGTGTGTCCTTATCTCTGTCTCTCCAATAAACTCTTCCCTATTACTTGAGAGACTCCCTTGAAATTCTTCCTGTGAGATCAAAAGAATGGGTTGTTGTGAATTCCAGAGGTTGATTTGCCTTTGAGCATCTCCTTCTCTGCATACATGCAGACCATCCCAGAATTAACTATAGAAACTGTTGTGTTACTTTGGTTTAAAAGTTTAATTTTCTCTATGATTAATGATTCCATGTATCTTAAGAACAATGCAGGTGTCTTTTATGAACATGCTTATTTTAACCTTTCAATTTTATATGCTATCAATATTATTATATTAAAAGTTTGAGTTAAAGATAGAAAATATAAAAACCCCAAAGGTTAATTAATCTTGTCATATTAAGACAGTGAATAAGGGGTAAAGCTTAAATGCTTAGTTTTATACTCTGAAAAACTACCCTTCTTTGCCAGTGTTAGTCTGGGTGCCCTTGGAGATAAAGATAGGAAGTATGAGTCCTTCTGACCCCAGTTGTCCCTACTTTGGGTATATTTCTTTGTTTCATTTCTTGTATTAGTTTTTAGAAAGACTTTATTTTTTAAATTTTTTTTTAAAACAAAGTCATATGAGGGGTTTAGTTGAAAACATATTTAAACTAGATTTTATTTTTTTCCCTAATAATAAAATACAAAATTTCATTTTCAAAATATTCCCTTCACATATTTAGACTTTGCCAAATGCCTGTGATGTTTTTACAGAAGACAAATTTAAATTTGATATTTTTCTTATAGTAAGTTGCCAAATAATAATTTTCCCAATTCTTCTCTTCTCTAAGAACTTTATTTAATTACATATCCCTCATTATATATTCCTCCTTTGTTCTGTGTAGAGAAACTCTAAAATAGATTGTAATTTTTATTTTGCATCTATACTCTAAAACTCCTGTAGCTGAATTATCATCCAACTCATACAATTCCCAATCTCTTCTTTCTTATGACAATTACTGAGTTTTCTTAGAGGTCACTTATTTTTGCTACCTATTAGAAATGTAGGTAGACACCTTTTACCAAAAGTTCTTCTGCCTTCTCTAGGAACAATATCTCAGAAGTCTTCTTTTCATGACAAATGACTTGTCATTGCCACATATTGTCATGATGTGTCACCATGGTTTTGAATATTGATTTAAAAACAAACCAATATTATTTGCATGTTTGCTTCACCTCCAAGTTGGTTTTAGTTCACATGTTTTTCATATAAGTAATAAACATATTTGTTTCCCAACTCAATAACTAATCATTTCTAACTGATTTTTTTTTCAATTTTATAATTCAGTTCCTTTGCTGTTTTAAAAAATTTATATCTGACCAATGAGTAATAAATAGTGCCACTAGTAATGAATGATCTGAATTTTCTAATTGATTTAACACTATTTCACAGTTTTGTTTTGTTTTCACTATTTGTGACTCAGGGAATTTGACATCTAAGAACCTCTTTAAATCAGATTCTGTTATAATAACTTCTAGGTTCTCGCTTCATTAAAATGGTGCTTGTGGCCACTGGGAGAACACCTTGTCATAAATTGAAATTTTATGTTTAACTTACAGATTTTAGCTGCACCACTGCATAAAACATATTTACTATGAGATCTGGTAATAAAATCTGAATTTTAAGTTAAAAATTTTCTTTTTTGCTTTTGGTAATTCACTTTTCAGTATGGTGGTATCTCAATTGCTATGGGCCAGATTCATTTTATACGTGCAATCTTACTTACGCCAACTCAGTATTACATAAAATTGACTGAATTCCAACACAATTTTGTACAATAGAATTAGTATTTTAAATATAAATCACTTCAAAATTTCTGAATACTTGTTTTCTAATTAATAAAGTTATAATGATTTCATAATTAATCTGACAGATAGATTTTCATTCTCTAACTTCACATCTAGCTCTGATCTCACATAATCCCTCCTTTTATTTATTTATTTATTTATTTAGCTATCATGATGGACACCAGACTTTTCTCATAGCATATTTCATCTCAGTATTTCTCAAAGTATAGATTAAGGGATTGAACATAGGGGCGATGATAGTGTAAAATAGTGCAAGCACTTTATCTTCAGGAAAAATGGTTGGAGGTCTAAGGTAAGAAAAGATTGCAGGTCCAAAAAATATAACTATCACAGTGATATGGGACCCACATGTCGAGAGGGCTTTACGTCTTCCCTCAGTTGAATGATGTCTTAATGTGAATAATATCACTACATAAGAAACAAATAAAACCATAAATACCACTAACGTGACAACTCCTGAATTGGCAAGCACAAGGACACCAATGATGTAGGTGTCAGTACAGGCAACTTTTAGCAAAGGAAAAATATCACAAAAGTAGTGATCAATTTCATTAGGACCACAGAAGGGCAATAGGATTGCAATAGAAAATTGGGGAAAGGAATGGGCGGCCCCACCAACCCAAGCAGCTAAAACTAAGAAATGGCACTTTGTTCTGTTCATGATAATCATGTAGTGGAGAGGCTTGCAGATGGCTACATAACGATCAAAGGCCATGACTGTAAGGATTAAGACTTCAACCATTCCAAAGAAATGCATGGCAAAGACCTGTAACATGCAGTTGCCATAGGAGATGGTTTTCTTCTTCACTAGTAGGTCACCAATGAATTTAGGAGTCACACAGGAGGTAAAGCAGACATCCATAAAAGACAGCTGGCTAAGGAAATAGTACATTGGTTGGTGATAAAGAGGGCTGCATCTAATGGAGATAAGGATCAGCAGGTTTCCCACCAAAAGAGCAACATAACAGGTTAAGAAGAGGGCAAAGCAAAATATTTGTATGTTTTGATCATAAGAAAGTCCCAACAGAATGAATTCAGAAATATTTCTCTGGTTCTCCATATATTTCAGCTTGGTATAAATCATAAGCACATGAGTTAAATATCTGAAAATAAAAGAAATAAAAATATTATAAGATGGATGGCATAATAAGAGTAATATAAAATTTATAAAAATTAGATTGTTACACATTGAAAAATACTATTAATTATTCCCAATATATAGAATTAAGCTTTTAAAATTATGTCACTTATTTGGAAGTTGATTTGAAAAAGTCTTGTAATGAGAATAATAAAATTTTCAATGTTGCCAAAAATGCCTGGATATTTTGCCAGACATGTAAATTTATTTTGTGCAGACCTGTAATCCCAGAGAATTGAGTGGCTGAGGCAGGAGGATTGCAAGTTCACAGCCAGTCTTAGTAATATAGCAAGGTCACATGCAACTTAATGAGACCTGGTCTCAAAATAAAACACAAAAAAATAAATAGCTGAGGATGTGTCTCAGTGGTTGAGTGCCACTGGATTTAATCAATGGTACCAGGGGAAAAAAAGGATATTTGAAATGTGCCAGGTATGGTGGCACACATCTGTGACCCCAACAGCTCACATGCAGAGGAAAGAGGATCACAAATTCAATGCCAACCTCGATAATTTAGTGAGACAGTCTTAAATTAAATAAAAACAACAACAACAGTAATAATAATAATAATAATAATAATGGCTTGAGGATGTGACTCAGAGCTAGAGTGTCCCTACACTTTTGAATATATGTATCTTATCTACTGGTTTTACTGTTTCTGTCCAATGATTTGGAATGAATTCCTCAATTTTCTGTGAATTTATACACAGAAATGCAGATTTATTTAAAATAAATCAGATTGAATTGTTTAATATGTGTAAAGGGTGATATTTCCTGTCTTGGAAAAAACATTAAAATTTAGGCATTTAAAACTAATATACTGTCTGATATATTAAAAAAGAATAATTGAAAACTGTACACTGAAATACAGAATGTAGTTTGGCTGAAATTGTGAAAAATAATAAGAAAATTCTTGCATTGTTCTACTTACATTTCTAGATCACATTTTTTTAATTGAAATACAATTGGAATTCACTGGGGCATAAAAGTAAAGAAATATAAAACAGAATGACCCAAGCATACGTGGATTGTTCATATTTTATGACTATTCCAGGAATTTCATCAGTTTCATATTCAAGTAGAAAAGAAAGTTTAGTAAAAGATGACTCAGGATCTAACTCTCAGACTACTATAAACATTCAGTGACATTTTTCTTTTTTGTTACATTAAATGAATGGTTAAAGATTCACAATTTTGAATCTTTTGTATGATGTTGAGAACTTATTTATGAGAGAATGCACTTTCAGGAGGTATTTTATCCCAGAATGCAGAATTAATTCACACTCAATGGGAATGCAAACTCCACAGCACATTAACTACCTTAATTGCATCTGATATGGCCACTGTATCTGAGTCCTTCAAGTAACTATTTAGAAACAAAGGATGCTTTTGTAGCAAAGTTATTTAGAAGCCATCATTAGCTAGTGAGTCTAATCTGTCTTTAGGAATATTTTTGATGATGACTAGCTAATCAGTACGGCACCCAAAATGAACAAATTGTGAAAAAATACTTAAATTTAATATTCAATTCTAATTTCTTCAAGGAGAAAAATTTTAATGTGCTCCTATTCTGACTCATAGATTGCTGAAAACTTCTAAATCTATCTTTGTTTTGCTATGTTTATTTTATAAAGCAAAAATAATTAACAGGCTCATAGTATTTGGAAATGAACAGGACTAAGCTAAGTTTCATAAGCATTTCATTGGATGATTTTTTCCCTATCTCAATCAACTAATGCTAAGGCTCTGTTTAAAAGATGTCATAATGTTCATTTGCAGTAGATTTACTTACCTATGATAAATTGCTTTAAAGATAATTGTTAAACAGGTAGGGTAGTGAACTACAAAAACTGAGTGTTTCTCAATATATCCAAATTTGTGTTTTTTCAATAAATAGACTTGATCAAGGGGATAAAAGTAATTTCTGAGGACCAGAAAATAATATTCTATAGATATTGGAGGCAGATAACTGGATGCCCACAGTTTGGAGCTGTATCCTTTCTTTGCGAAAAGATTAATAAGGGTCATCATGTGGCACACAGTGAAAGGAAGTATTGTGAATGCTCATCTCCATAGAAAATGCTATGCTAGGTATCAGATTAGCAAATTACCCACAGGGCTCTCTAAATGTCTATGTGAACAATTCTTGCAGTTACATAAGCATGTTATCCAGCAGTTTTTATTCAATATCAATTTGAAATGAATTTCCTTCCGTTTCAGCAATATGTGCATCACTTCAGTCAGAGATCTTTCATCTATCTACATCATATAGATGTTCAACCCACTATAGCTGTTAAAATCCCATTCTCTATAATGAGGGGACACCACTATTATGGTCGATTACCTCTGTTAGTAGACTTTAACAGGTACATATTATTATAGTCATGAGAAGAGAATTTTTATCACAAAATCATGTGATAAAGTATTTCTTGGCCATATTTTCTAAGTTCTCTCACTAGTAGTAAAAAGAAGAAATATTATGTTTCCACTCCAAAATTTGCTGAAATGGTGGCAACAACATAAAAGAGGCAGAAACATGAGGAATATTATACTAACTGAATGGTGAGTTGTTTTCTTTCAAATTGCTTTTATTTAGCAGTAACTCAGATTTTTGAATATTCAAATGTTTGATATTACATTTGCTTTTTATCTCTTTGAGTGTAGTTATTTGAAATTGACTTAGATGCTCAAATGTGAGTACTCTTGACAATATTTTATCTATGAATAATTAATCAACCAGTATAAACATAGACACTCTTCAAACTGCACTCAATAAATTTATTAAAGGTCTTTCTTTTCTATACATTAACAAATGTTTGTAAGGAACTGGGAAAGTAGAGCTAACTTTTATTTTTCCATATAATTTGTGAACCCTAAGATAATAGCTGACATGAATCATGAAGTCTCATATTTGACAATTGTAAAATTATGAAATTATTACCTAATTCAGAAATATGTTGAGGAATTCAAGAAATAATAAAAACTTTAATGTCATGTAAGTTCGCAACCACAATATTAATTTCCTTTTATTTTTTGTATTTTTCAAGTGATCAGTTATTAAAATTTTAATGTACAAATGAATAATTGGATTCAATTAAGAAACAAAAAATGAACTAGGGTTGTAGGTCAGTGGTAAAGTGCTTGCCTAGCATGTTCAAAACCTTGGGTTCCATCCCCGGTTCAGGAGGAGAGAGAAAGCCAGCAGAACAATAAAGAAAATATCCTTAAATAAATTCAATGAAGGCAATCAGATTTAATACCATTTTTGCATTTCATTAATTAAAAGTATTAAAATTACTCTGAGAGTTTGGTTAACATTGTACACCACTAGCTTGAGATTTTTCATATACTATCAAAATATAATCAAGTGCTTACTTTATACCTTTGGTAGTATTGCATAAAATCACTGCAATCCCTTTTGAATGTGCTCTCAGAACATAAGGAACATTTCATTAGAGTTTCTATCATGAGTTCCAATTTTCTTTCAGTGTTATCACAATGTTGAATTCTGTATAATAACTTACCTTAGCAGAATCAGATTAATGTAGTTCATTTCAGGAAGACAAGTGTCTTAAAAATAAGGAAATCACTCATCACTAGAGATGTTCCAACATTCACTGGGTTGGTCTTTGATAAGAATATGGAAGAAGGTATATAAGCATCAGAATGAGACTTATGAAGTTCATTTGCAGTTTTAAGATTTCATTAAATTGATGTGACTCCTTATTCACAACTGGAATTCTGATTGTGAATTATGTAATATTAAAAATAAAATTTGCAAGAGCATTTTGCATTAATCAAATTCTTATTCAATAATAAAAATTATAGTCTTAAGAATGAAATTTAATGAAATGAATAAATTAACGTATCTCCAAATTCATTTGTATAGATAATCCATATAAAACCAGGTCTAAAGAACAGTCACATCAGTTTTCACTTTCAAAGAACTCCAACCTGAGATACTCAGTTTAACTCTTCTTTGTATGTAAATTTGAAATAAAACTCCCAGATTTACCAACCAGCATTTCACACACACATGTCAAGTTTCTAAAATTATTTTGGAATCTTGACATATTTTAGGAGTTTTATATTGTATAAGGTAATTGGAACTTACTTAATCATTAATTAAGTGTGCAAGAAGTAAATCCTCAATCAAAAAACAAAGTATTTGAAACATTACATCCAAAGAAAGTGATCTTTTAAGTCCTCGGAGTAATTTATTTCATTAGTTTTCTTGAAGAAAATTTGGTTCAGAAGAGCATAACATAAACCTACATGACAAGTATTAATACATCTTTGAAAACTCTAAATCCTCAAAGGCATTTCTAAAAAGGTCTTCAACATGTGAAACTGTCTAACATGAAGTCCCTGGTGCCTCTGAGAATTATCTTGCTATAAAGTCTTTTTTTTTCTTCTTTTTTTTTTAATCCTAATTCCCTGGAGGCACCAAAATGTTCTAGTCAGACAGTGCAGATCAGGAAATATCACTTGCTCTGAGCTCAACTAGCTATTGAAAGAATGAGGAAAATAATACAGCATAGAATAGAATTAAATAAGCTTTTCACAAAAGTTTGAGATGAAGGACAAAGAGAAAAAAGGCATTTATAATCCAAATATGGGTAATTATCAAGGGAAATTTTCATAACTAGTGTAGGTGAATGAAAAAAATTCATGGCCAGTGAGGTCAGGACTACCAGCAGGTTGTCAATAGAACTAACTTTGATGAAATAAATAGTTGGAAAATGGAAGAGAGAGGAAAAGCCAAAAAATAAGCATTTTGTAACCCTTACACATGTGATGGTAGAAATGGTGTAAAATTGAGAACATAATGAAGATATCAGAATAAATAAGCACTCAATGTACAGATATTTTATGCTACATACGTAGCTGAGTCCTTTTGTATTACTATTTATACAAGGCTG